CGGCTCGATTTTGCCAATTTTTTAAAAATGGTTAACTCAAGATTTTGGCCGGAGTAAATTACTCTAGCTTATTGATTTTAGCCAGGGGCTTGGACTTCTATTAGCGAAATTGATAAGTTTAGGTAATAATATTTTAGCAAAATCTTTATTTAGTTCTCTTTAAAAATCGGCGAAACGGGGCTGTTTAACAAAACTACATTCGCCCATAATCACTGCAAATATTTAATGATATTATTAAATTTTGGAGTATAAAAAAAACTAAAATACACTTAAATCATTCGTGAAAGTTAGTTGGTTTTTTAAAAATAGTATATAATGACATTTTTATGAATTGTTTAAAAATGGATGGGAAATAAAATAAATATCGGGATCGGATCGGGTTTTAATTCGGAAAATATCGGATCAGATCGGTGAAAAATTTGTGGATCGTTATAGCCATAATAATTATAACGATAAATTAAATAATGTATATTTAGTACGATATAATATGTAAATTTTGGGTTATTAATATTCAAATTATGTTATGTTCATGTTTAGTATATAATTGTGAAATATATAGTTTTCAAAGCTATCCATTAGACAGAACCATGAAGCTTTCTAGAGAAATAAATTGGTCTAAATTTAATTTTGCATGTTTTGAGTTTTTTAAAATTTTATATACTTAACTAAGTTAATTTCTGAATCGAGCTACATCTGTAAATATTACCTACATAATATTTAAATTTTATTGTCAAATATCCTAATTATTTTCTTTTTTTATCAGTCAATTAATAAAAAATGGTTCATTAACAAAGGTTTAAAACTCTCGAAGAAACGAAGGGATATTTTCAGGGTTGTGCATTTGACCGGTCAAATATGATCAAATGCGGTCAAATTCAAATAAATGTTTTTTAAGACAAATTAACTTTATTTTATTTATAATAGTAAAAAATGAATCTATTAAATTATATTTTTTTAAATTCTATAATTAATGTTTTGCTCTCCATGGCAGAGTTTGTTCCGATTTATATTTAATATTATCATTTTCTTTAATATTTTTAATCAGTCTTAGATTATGATAGGATATACTAGTGATATGCATCGGGCCTAATTTTACCCGGCCCGGCCCTAATTCTAAATTTTTTAAAAAGTTTTGCCGTCCGACCCGAACCCGAAATATTTGAAAAAATTTACCGGCCCGAATTTATTTAAATATATATAAATTAATTTTTATAATTACTTAAAATTATATGTTATATGGGGTCTAGTTTCTATAAATAAAATCAAATATTTTTATTTTATATAAAAAATTCAACATAAAATTGATAAATTTAGATATAATATATTTAAAAAAAATATTAAGCCCGGCCAGCCCGAACGCGATTTTTTTAAAAAAATGGGCTAGAAGACTGTTCAAGCTGAGTACGGGCTGGGCCTACTTTAGCAGATCTCTAGGATATACTCTAACCAAATTTCTGGTTCATATGAATATTACCTCAAACCTGCCAATTTCATTCTGAAAAAGAAGTTTAACTAGGAATTGTTAGTAAGATACTAGACACTTCTCCTAATGTTCAAGGTGGGCAAAGTTTATTCCAACAACTTGAGGCCAAATCTGATTGTTTTTATGAAAATTACTTTCAACATATTTTAGCTATTAAAAATACCGTCCCTTTTACGTCTGAAATTTATGATATCACTTAAAATATTTTTATTATCATCATCTTGTAAAATGACTAATTCTTATATTATATCAGATGCCTTATCAAACTCATTACTAGCATGGCTTATATGGGGATCCAATAAATAATCAGCTGGAGCATATGTATTTGGAATGTTGTTCCTTTTTCAAACGTATACTTAATTTTTTTTTCTTCAAGTAGAGAAATTATAAAATCATGGCACGATTGAATTATGTTTTTTCTGAATTAAGCAGCTCGTTTGTTTTTTACTTGAGATAAAGTGCATAACCCTTTGCACTTGCAACAATAAGATAGCTAAATATTAAAGAAGTTTAAAATTTTAGATATTTCGTCCAAATTATTTCTTCATTTAATATATTATTGGTAATTCCTTTCGGACAAATATCCAACTTCTTCAACAGCTGTTCAAAGTTTTCTTGAATATTTTTATTTACTCTTACATTTTATTGACTATGCCTATCTTGTTTGGATAAATATATATAATGCAATATAAATTGGCATAGTAATTTTATAAAACCATGCTTTAGCAAAATTATTATGCCTATTTATATATTGAGATCCAATAAAATCTCTAATGAGAAAAGTTCTTTTATTTTTATATTTAAAATGAAATTCTAATATTTTAATATGAAAATCTTATATTTTAAATGTAAATCTTATATTTTAAATGAAAATCTTATATTTTAATATAAAATTATAACTAAATCGATGCCTTATTTATAAATAAATTGTAACCTGATAAGATTGATAAAATGCTCTAAATGCATATTAGTTAATTAAATCAATATTTTTATTCACTAATAATATTTTAGAGTATTTTACCGGGTCAAATACTCCTGTCAATTGACCGACTTCCCAACCCTGGATTTTTATTCTAAATTTAGGAGTATCGGCGCTGATGGCGATATCCTTTAAATAATTTACTATGATATTCTTTTTAAAATAAATTCAAATATAAAAAGTTTACTAATGATAAAGTCATTCTTATAATTTCTTTTTAATGTAATAAAATAATCAATCCACGATTTTAAAATTAATACATCCTGTTAAAATAAATCACTTTATCAAAAATATATATTAAAAAATATAAACTACAACAAAAGGGACACCTAAGAACTTGATAAAAATTATCAGAATATAGATTGATTTATATTAACTACACCTATTTGAAAATTTCAAATTCCTATTTAAACATTTAAAAGATCTTGTTAAAATTGGACTATTACTTTCCTATAATGTTCTTAAATCGGCTCAATCAAAACAGTCAACTTTAGCCTTGGCTCCACACTCTACTGGATATATTATAATTGATTCGTGTACTAACTAAATTTAGCTTTTTTAGTCTCATATATGTACTTTTTCAAACACGTATAATTTTACTTTTTTGAAATACAAATTAACCTTTTGATTTGAATATAGACATTATGCTTGAAAGAGGGTATGATTTTGTGACTAAAATAATAAAAAAAATCTATGTAAAATAATTCTTAAAATTAAAATAATTTTTATTATTCATGCTTACTTATAAAGCCATTAATTTTTTTTTAAAAATTCTATATTTTTTATTTATTATTTGAGGCAATAGTATATTTTTTTTCAAAACCTAGCTATCGCTTATTAGACCGAAGATGATAGTTTTCGCATGAAAATTCGGTATAGACTTTTTAGAGTCGGCTCAAATCATGTTAAAAATGGAGGGAACCACGACTTGCTGTTGGCGAACCTCATTCTATACTTTAAATAAAGTAGAAGCAGCGGCAATATTTTTTTATGTTGGCTATAATTTTTTTTGAAGGAAATTTGATGTTTAAAATATTATAGGGTCAATAAGATCTATTTTATAGAATATTTTTATAGATCCCGCCACTTGGTGGAGTCGGTGCCACTAAAAAATGAAAAAACCTGTCATCACTGTCGATTATTGTTGCATTTTATTCTCCAACCAGTACCCTCTTTATTAATCTTCGTTTTAATATTTAGTATGGCGAATTTCTTCAAAAAAAACATTTTTTTTATCTTTTATTATCCTGAATTTTTTTAAATATCTATAAATGTGTTAAAATGAGAGAAATCAAAACGTTTATTTTAATTAATTATAAAAAATATAAAATAAAAATGATGTGGAAAAAATATCGAAAAATAAAACTTTATTCTCTTTCTACTACGTGGCTATAAAAAAGATATAAAAAAATAAAATATTTCTATGACTATATAAAAATTTTAATTTTATAACAATAAAAAAGAGAAAAGGGATTCAAATTTATCACTTTTTAAAAAATATTAAAATTTTAGAATTAAGGAGGTTAAAAATCAAAAAAATTAGCGAGAATGGCAGCCCCCTCCCCCGCAAGCTGATTAGCCTCGGCTAATAGCTAATAGCAGTAAATATCAATAATAAGTTGAACCAGGCGACCCGCCCTGAGACTTTATTTTAATTTTAGGAGCAGGGATAAGTGAATATTCTGATGAAATTTAAAAAAAATTACATACATATTTTCATTGTTTATTTTATATTATATATAAAATAAAATAATGACAAAAAAATCATTAAAATATCAGTATCAGGGCCGCTTGGGATAATATTGGTAAATATAGGGTTAGATCGATGAAAATATTTTAGATCGATAAAGCCCTATTTATTATGTTTAGTTGAAAGATTTAAATAATTGATATTTGAAGATCAAGATTTATCACACATTGTTTCTTAATATCTCATCAATAACGGATTAAAAATCTTAAGGTGTCCATAAAACTCACTTTTCTTTGAATTTATCTAAATCTCGTGATTTACATCTATTTACCTCTATTTTTATCGTCCTATTAATCTTAGTATTCCTGACGCCAAACTTCTATAATTATTACTATATACTTGATTCTATTTAAATTATATTTATAACAAGGAATATTTAAAAATTAAAAGCATATTTTTTTATTATAATTGGCAATCAGTTATAACAACTGTCATTTTGAAAAATTATTAAATGTGAAAATTATACTATATCCTGAATTTTTGCTAGCTAAGTGCTTTAAAATTCTTATATTAACCATCTAATTTATTATTTCACAACAAAATTTTAATTAATAATTAATTCAATCATTTCGGACGACAATTTAAAAAAATAGATTGTGATAATATAAATTGTAAATTTTTTTAATCCTAATTTTATAGCTCTGATCAACAAACTACTAAAGCTACTTTTATCATTGGATTATATATCCTTATACTCCGTTAAATTAGATAAGCTCTTTTGCTCTAATAAGTAGTTTTTCAAAACATTTTAATTTCATAATTCTCATCTATATTAAAAAAATCTTCAGAAAAAACTTTGATTCAACTCTATTGATAGTGCTCTATTTGTGTCAACTGTTCTTGCACGTGGAAGTCGATTTACAGGATCATGAATCATTTATATTCAAGCAAAAAATGTACCATATAATAAAACTAGATCCCAGGGGCAAAAAAGGTTATTCATTTCTACACTACGCTGTAGATTATAAGACTAAAGTTGACGAATATCTATTCAAGGATGACTTGTGTAGTTTTCCTCATTTCAAAACAGTTGAGCTGTTAATCGAATGCGGTATTATTTATATCAATATGTCAAAATATATAGCTCACATTTTAGGTATTGACCCAGATTTGCTCGATAATTTCAATAATACACCATTACAAATAACAGCGTATGATAATAGTTTCCCCCTAGGAATCCTAGTCTTACTCATTATAAATGGCGCGCATCGTGATTATGTTAATAAAGATGGGAATAGTTTATTGAAAGATTCCAGTTTCCTTAAGCAAACTATTAAGAATAGGGTCATTCGGACTTCTGAAATTATTATTGAACATCACCTATCAAATGATAACTTAAATTACGAAGATCCATCCAACGATAACACTATTAATAATAGTGACGAAAGAAGTGCTTAAATAAATAGATATATTTTAAATTTACTAAAAATATTTACTGAATTTCTCATCAAAAAAAAAGAAAAGTTTCGATCAAAAAGGATCAGAAAAATAAATGATGTTTTAAATAGAAGGAATAAAATTTTTTTAAAGTGCTATAAAACCTTGACTAAAGTAATAGCTTTGCATTTTTTTGAATATAAGATTTTTAAATAGCTAAAGCTGGTATTTCTATTCAATTGTAGTTGTATTTTAATTTTATTCAGTTATCCTACTATGGCCTTAATAAAATATTTTGAAAGAAAAAGATTGTAATATTCCAAATTGTAAGTTTTAAATTTTTTTTGCGAATTCTAGTCCTGTCCTGGCTTTTAAACAAATTAACAAGTTGTTCTGCCCGAAAATTTTTTGGGCTTCCGGCTCGCGTCGATCTCTATATCATATATAGAAAAATTAGAAAGTAAATTATATATTTTTAGGCTCAGATTTAAATGAAAACAATGATATGGATATCCATTCTGCTGACGAATTACCATCCCAATCTTACACCAATTTCATTCATCACGAATCATATAGATATAACAGTGACGAATCGAATGAAGATTTCGAAGATTATAATATTTTTCGCGATCAATTGGGCATGACTACGGATTATGGCTTATCCCAAAATGACGAAGGTCTTCGTTTTAACGGTTATTACCAAAACAACGTGATATATTATAGTTTGACAATAAATGGCGACTACGAAATTAATGATAGCGAAGAGGAGGACAATCTTGGAGAGTTATCACGATTTTCGGCTCTAAATATTGATGTGGCTGATCTGTACAGTCTGAATAAAAAGTTGCCCACATGTGCCACCCTGTTTTCTCAGGTCTACGTGAATTTGAGTTGTTTGGCCGCGAGATGTATCAGAAGGCATTATGTACCTTATAAAAAATGTATTCCATTTAATTTAGAAATTTTTGTCGACCGGCATGGCCCGTGAGGTGCAAATCTTTTATAATTCTAAGCGGAGCATAATTTAAAACATTTTATAATATTGTTTTCTTACAATATTAAAACAAGTTATTTATTTATTTATTGTCGAATTTCTATAACAAACTCACAAATGTTATGAATAAAAAAAAACCATATATTTCCTAATTGTATATATACAATAATCTCATCATATTTTGTATATTTCTTAAGATAACAAATCTAACTTCGTCTGCTTTATATTAAAATTTAGGTTAGAGCCAAGATTAATGATCATTCTATCTAATTTTGGCTATTTGACACACCTAGTATTGTTAAACGGCTCGACTTGAGCAGTTTTAGAACGGCGAACTCAATATTTTAGCCAGAAGAATAAACCCTCGAGATTTTGCTAATAGATGTCCAACACTTTGTCCATCTATTTGCTTAATCTTCAAGCTCGTGCAATATTTTTCTGGATAAAATACTCAGTTAGCTGTTTTTAAAACGGCGCAAATCGAGCCATTTAACAACACTAGACACACCGGTATTACAAATATATTTTTTATTTATTCAAATCATTAAATGGTCTATACTGTATTTGTTTATAAAAGTTTGAATATGAATATTTGTCATTGGCAATAAAACAGCTAAAATCGGAGTTAATTGGTAAATTTTGTAACGTACGCACTTTAACAGAAATTTGAGATTTTTTAAAATACACAAAAAACCAGTTTTTAGGACCAAAGCAGACCTAAAACTTTTGATTTGAAAATTCAAATAAAATAAATGTTATTCATATTCGTAAAAATTGATTATTCATTATTTGTATTACAAACAAAAAAATTATTCAATTTGATGCGTCAATATTTCGAAAATATAATTTTTCCATTTCAAATTCGAAAAAGGCATTTGCTGTAATATTTTTATCATACAAGTAAATCAGTGTAAGTATATTATAGTTAATATTAATTTCTTATTGAATTGATTCATATCTTCCCTGAAAACTCATAATGAAAAATAATAATATATCATTTGTTTTAACTAAATCTATTCACATTAGTTAAAATATCGAATCGACATAAGGCATCATTTTCATATAATCGTAAATTTTATCCAAAATCTTCATTAAGGACAAATATTTTAATAAGAATCTGAAATATAGTTTAAACCTTGGAATATTAAAAAAGCCAAATATATTGATCTCGAAGATTGTACCTATGCATTTTTAATAAAGGAAACACAACTTTTATAATGGCTTAAAACTTTTAAGTAATTGCGTGCACCTAGAAAGATCCTTTTATCGATGTGTACCATTTATAGATAGTTAAGGACAACTATAACGAATGAAGGCCCTACTGGGCTTGGAATATTTAGTCTGTACAGAGGAAAAAATATCAAATAATACAAAATATTTAGATCTAATTTCAGATTTATTTGTTATACCTAAAGGAATTTAGTTTCTAGTATGTTTAACTATAATTTCTAATATTAGATGAATATAAAGAAGAAGAAAAATATGACATGGGCGTTGTCGGACAAGAATGATAATTTTAGTAATACTGTATCCCCCCCCCCTAATTTTTATGTTACATGGCCTGCCCTATGAAATAGAAAATATTAGTGTTGTTAAAACGGCTCATTCTAGGATAACATAGAAAAGTGACAAATTCATAATCGTTTTTTTAAACTTTTTGAATTTATTTTTAACAAATGGGTAAAATAATAAATTGTAAACATGTTAAATTGAGATTTTAGAGAAGATGAACGATAGAAAAGTGAAAATTTTCATATTCGCTATATTGTAACTTTTATACCACGCAGATGTTATATCAATATTAAAAACTACCACTCTAGACTACAATATATCATTATCGACACTATATTTAATTGGCAATTTTTAGCTATTTATCCTATCTCCTTTTGTTTTTGGAAATTGTGTTATAATTTAAAAAACCATTGAAAATGATCAAAGTCGATTATTTGTCAATTACAACAAAAAAAAATCAGGATTATAAGTTATAATTAAAGTATGATCTTTATCTAATGATATTAATAAACGAATGCTAAAAAAATAGAAGAGAAACCGGCACTATTTTGAACTTTTTGATTCAAAGTACCAAAAAATTGTGAAAAATAACTGTTCACAAAAATAATTATATGAGTGGGATCCCCATCATTAAGCTATTATTCCATTATGCTAAATAATTGTTGGCTCAAGCATATTTTTCATTTCTCATCCGGAATATCCCATAACCTCCAAGTTAAACAATATTTTAAAAATATCAAATTAATGAAATTTGGTAGTGTTAAATATAAAATTAAAGATTATTTAAATATAAATTTTGTAAATAACCATAAAAACAAGATTTTATTAAATCTTCTTTTTTTTTATGTAAAAACTTTAAAATAAATTCTTTTTCTTTAACCTTAAAATAAATTCTTCTTGAATTTTGTAAAATTATTTTCTTAAATTTTGTATATGTAAATAATTATAAAAAAATAATATATATAGAATAGAAAATTGTAAAATAGAGATATAATTTTGATAATAAAAAATTTAATTTCTTGTTATCTGCCTTCCCTGTATATATCATGGTGGCAGCAAAGCTACTTCAGAGAGCTTTTTAGATATTTTTCAGAGACAAATTTTAGAAATGACTTTAGCTACTGGAGTATGGTCAAACTAGATGAAAGAGGATTCTGGAATGTTATATTTATTTAATTCTAAAACACGTAAGAGGTGATTAAAATGAAAAGATGAAAAATAATTAAAATTTTTAATAATAAAATCTCTAACATATGAATAAACCAATATGGGACCATAATAATAAAACAAAGTCCATAGACAAATTAGAAGATTATTTGATATATTACGATAATAAAAATACTTTAAGTTTAACACATAATTTATCAGATGATTTTTTTTTGGTTATGAAAGCAATGGTACCGAGAAATGAAAGTTTAACTTATGAGGAAGCTGTTTATATTAAAATGTTTATGTAATTATAAATCGGTAACGGAGATAAAAGTAACATCTAGATCAAATAATCTATCTAATTATCCTAATAAAAATTTTAAATGTAAAAATTATAAAAATAATCATAATATAAATTAATATAGTGACAGACAATTATTATAACAGAAATCAATATAATAAATTTAATAATAATTATTATTATGAAAATAGAAAATTAGATAATAAATATTATGGAAAAACATACAACAATCATTATAATTATTAATCTCATAATAATAAAAACTTGAATAAAATTGAATCATGCAAATTAGTACCAAATGTTAAAAACGAAGTAATTCTTTAAAATTAAAAGATAAATTATATGATAAAATTTAAAGTGATATAAACATGAAAGAAAATAATAAAATAAAAACTTTTATAAAGTTTAAAGATAATAATGAAATCACACATAAAAGATAGAAGTATGATAAAGGAAGCTATGGAAAAACTAAACGTCTTAAAGACAAATTTTTAGAGGGGGAAAAATTGAAGATAAAGTTCAAAAAGTCAAGTTCAAGATCGAAATTATAACTTACGACCTAGAAAAAATTTTAGTTAAAAATAAATGAATAAAATTTTTATATAAAATATAAAAAATTTGAAAAGCAAACTATCAACAAACGATGATTCAACAAACTCAAGCCTAGCAAATGAATATCAGAGCAATCTTAAAATTGATAATGATAACGACTGAGAACGACCACAAGCCAACATAAACAAACCTAAGCACAACTATAAAACGATGTTCACAAACCAACGTGATAGAATCAAGCCAAAGGCATAATGGTGCTATTACGAAAACAGCCAAAATTACAGAGCATTTGAACAAAAAGCTCTCACATCTCATAAGAGGGATGATTGTTAAATAATGGAAATTGCCTGTAACCTTATTTTTATTTAAATTATTTTTGTAATATAATATATCTGCACCTTAATAATTTTTTAGTTTGTTAATCCTTTTTTAGAAAAATATAATATAATCTTTAAATTCTTTTATGGTGCCCCGGTATGGTTATTCACGTACAATGATATATAAAAAAATCTCATATATATTGTGCCATGACGATAATTATAAAAATAAAAATATGGAATTATATAATAAATTATAAAAACTATTCGATATAAAAGGACACACACAAAGTTAAAAAAAAATTGAATATAATATCAATGTTTATCTTTATGCTAAATTAAATAAAATATGGACGAAAAAATTAGTGTATTATCTACAGGGAGGTTAGGTTCCCAAAACTGGAGGGGTGTTTGACTGACTTGGAGAGACTTGATGATTATTTTTCTCAAACAATTTTGTCCGATTTAGTAAAAATTGAAACATTGATGAGCAATTTATCTGACGAACTATACGATAACAAGTCATTATGTACTAAGGTAGATATTAAATATTATAGAGTTGTCGTTAAAAAATTAAAATACCTTATACCTAGTCAAGATATTTGGATATTAACTAACAAATTTAACCTTGCATCACAAGGCGTTAAGGAATCTTTCATAGATTGGTTTTTGGACTTTCTAAGTTGAGTTGACAATGTAATTTTATTAATGATGATCGCATAATAGAAAAATTGAGAAAATCTAGTTTAAACGACAATTTAAAAAATAAATTAAATAAAAATATTAACTATACAAGACGAAATGATTGAAATAGGAGAAAAATTAGATAGTATTAACATTAAATCAGAAAGTGACAATGTTAATTAAGTTTTTAGTATAAAAAATTTAATAAAAATATTGATAATAATAGAAATAATGATAAGAATTTAGATAACCAATACTTCTAATAGGAATGAGAATATTACTAAATAATTATAATAGACCTATGCGAGACAAAATTTTGACATTAGTAGGAATTATAGTAATAACAATTTTAGTAATGTTAATGACAACAGGAATAGGAATTTTAGTAATGTTAGAAACAATAATAATTATAATAGCAATAACTATAGAAATAATCAGTATAATGATGGCATCTATCAAAATTATAATTATCAGTATAACAATAGCAATTTTAGGAACTTTCATAATAATAATTATCAATCTTATAACAACAACTACGGTAGGAACAACGCCTAGTGTAATTATAATCAGTGGAGACAGATTCAATGTGATGATCAAAAACATTATAATAACCGATCTTATAATAACAATTCAAATAATTATGAAGAAAACAAAAGGTGGCATATTAATGATAACCAAAGAAAACAAATCGAATATGACGATCGTAATCGGTGGAAGGATTTTAATCAAAGAAAACAAATCCAGTATGATAATCAAAATTGCTATGATAACAATAATTATAATATGAACATTGAAGAAGTGGGAAAATAAAGTCGACACTGCCAATGACGATAAATGATTTCAATGTCATCAACCTGGCTGAAAATATAGACAAAGGTTATGACAGTGCTTTTATGACTACTTTGAAATTAAATGATGTTACTACAACTATGCAAGTCGACACTGGATCAAAGTATACCATTATACCTCATGATCAGGGTTGCCATGTCTCCTCCCATCAGCGGGAGACTCCCGCAATTTTTTAGTTTACACGCAATCTCTCTCCCGCAAAACTACCGCAATTGGAAATCTACCGCAATTTTTTAATTTCTCCCGCAATTTTTTTTTAAAAGTATTTTAACGTTTTTAATATATAAATAATGATTTTGAGAGCCATTAATTGATTATTCTTATATATTTAAAATAAATTTTAAATATTTATTCGAAAAACATGTCTAGTTTGTAAATTTCTTTCTATCCTGTTTTATTTTTATTCAATAATAAATCAACATCATTTCATTCATATAAGTCAGTACAGGGGAGTATATCATCAACGATTGCAATACAAAAATATTCTCAAAAATAATAAATAATACAGATGCAACTACGTTTGCGGAAATCGTATACATCTATCATGTAATTTAACATTCACAGAGTTATATCATCACAATGTTGGTCGAATCTTTCTCTCATGAGATTTAAAGACTTCAATATAAATGCAAACCTTACTTGTGGCAGAACAAAAATGAGCAAGGCTGTCACAAGTGTTTTAGTACCTGAACCCTAGAGGTCAATTCTAGATGATTTGAAAGATGGGCATCCATATGCAATTCTAACAGATACATCTAATATGGGAAATATTAAAACATTTCCCTCGATCCTTCGCTATTTCAACAAGAATATGAACATTTCAATAAAACTGTTAAAAAATTTTCCTCGGATAGTGAATAATCCAACGATGTAGCTAGCCACATAATGGTAAATATAGTTGATTCAGGGTTATCAATGATTTGCATGTCAGCTTTCTGCGCTGATAATGCCTCTGTAAATTTTGGCAAAAACCAAATTACTGAATTGAGGAAGCACAATAATGAATTAATACTAATTGGCTGTATATGCCATATACTACATATTTCTTGGAAGAAGGCAATGAATGTACTACCTGTAAATGTCGAAATAATTGTGATGAAATGTTTTAACGAATTTAGTTCATCAACTAAAATAGTTAATGAATTAAAAGAGTTTGTGAAGTGGTCTGACTTGGAATGGTGTGAGTTGTTGCGATATATACCTATCAGGTGGTTGTCATTAATACCTGCCATCATAGAATTTTAAAATTTTACAAACCCTTAAATACTTTTTAAATAAAGATTTTAAAAGCTGTTATAAAATTTTGAAAAATTTTTTCGAGTATGAAATAGCAGAAGCATATTTGGGATCATTTCACATGTAGGAAATCTTCATGCATTTAATATTCAGTTGCAATCAGAATATTCTTTATTAAAAAAGATTCACAAAATCATGCTACAGCTCTGTTCATCTCTACAGTTAAAAATTGATAATAAATTTTATGGCGCTATTGCTAAAAATATTATATTAAATGTTCAAATAATACTTTAAATATTACATTTTTAAATGAAGCAGATATTTTTATTAAGACAATTTTAGAATATTTACAATCAAAATTTGATTTTAATAATTCTATTTACTTATGTATAAATATTATTGACGTATATTTCACATATATTTAAAATAGTAGTTTTAAATAATTATTGATAAATGTCAATCAATTAAATAATTTGTATTTTAGAAAAAATATAGATATTAATTTTAAAAAAAACATATATTATATTATTTTTATTTTATGATTTTTCTTTTTGTTGATTGAATCGAAAAAATAGAATATATTGTAAAGAGAAAAAATTGGAAGAGATTTATATATATATATTATTGTACTCAAAAATTCGTATTTGATATTTTTGTTGGATTATTACAAAATTGATAAAAAAATATTGTCAAGAAACATATATTGTGATATATTATATGAAGAATGTATTTTAAATAAAGATATTGAAATTAAATTAATTTAGTAAAATGAGAAATATTTTAATGGTGCCGACCGACCAGGATCCGAACACTTATTAGGGGAATAAGAAAATTTAAAAAAAAAATAGTGAATATTTTGTGAAGAGAATTTTAGATATTATAAAGGAAGAACAATTTCTAGGACCGGGTTCCTCAAAATAATAGGAATTCCGGATATATATATAAAGGTAAGAAATTTTGTTTTTATTGAATTATAAATTAAACACAACGCAATTTAAAAAGTTTTTTTTTTTAAATTTAATTTTTTAGGATTTTAAAAAATTTATTTTTGATATAAATTTATGAAATCATGGTTTATCCTTTTATAACTGTGCATAGGAAGCCTGATTTTAATAAAATTTCGATTTATAAGAATAATTTTAATAAAATTTTTAATACAAAATTTAATGAATTGGATGTGACCAATAGTGTGGTTACAGCTTTCATTTTTTTTATATTGCATATATTATTAATTGGTTTCAGACAATTAATTAATAGAATTAAGTGAAGATCAGAGACAAATAAAATAATGAAATTAGGTGATCTAAATAGCAATAAATCTTTAGATATTTCTGAAGATATCAAAAATAGTTTACATTTAATTTTATTAAAATTAAAAAATTTAAATGGTAAAAAGATTGTTATACCAGAAAAACAATCAGAGAGAATATTATATACGGGTGAAGTATTTAATTTTCCTCAAAATATTGGCATATCGGAGGATATAAATAAAAAATTAAATTCAATTGTGATAGAATTTAAAAAGCAAATATCTGAGGTTTTAATCGAGAAACCAGTAGAAATTTTGAAAAATAATAATAAAAATAATACTTTGAGACAAAAGTACCGAGGAATCTCTAATTTTAAGTGAAATTAGAGAAATGAGAGAAAGTATGAAAAAATTGTCTAGTGAAGTTTCTAACTTAAAAATTAAAAATAATAATATGATTGAAAGTTGTGAACTTTGTGGAAGAAAAGGACATGTTGGTAAAAATTGCTATTGATCGAAAAACCAATGTGAATGTTACTGCAAAATCAAGTGAAAAAAATGACATAGTGCGTCATAGATGTGGTTTTGTGGGACATATAAAGCGAAATTGCATGGTGAAAGAAGCCAATTTCAAAAGTGGATTTCCTCAAGAAGCCAATTTTAAAAGTGGATTTCCTCAACGAACATCGGTAGTGATAGATCCAGTGGTTCGAAATATACAAAATCCTAATATTATAAATGTGGATAAAAAAGAAATATATAATACAGATAATGATCGAATGTGTTTCAGATGTGAGGAATTGGGACACATTGCAATACATTGTATTCAAAGTGTGAGTGGGCAGTGACTATATGATTTGAAAGAGAATCATATAAAAATAAATAAATTATATTTAAAGAATATTAAATTTTGTGATATATATAGTTTTATTAAAAATTTTGTGGATATATAGTAAAATAGATAATCATTATGGGAATGTTTATTATACATTGAAATTTAACTCGAATAAAAAGAGTTGTAATGTAGGAAATTTTTATTGTCATTTTGATGAAATAAAAAATTTTAAATTAACCAATAATTGAATAAAAAGGATTATTGTAATCAAACAAGTGAGAAATATACATGGGAGATTTTTAATAAAAACATAAATGAAA